AAAAATTTTTTTTTTTTTTTTTTTTTTTATTATTTTTGTTTTCGGCCTGACAAATTATGCTGAAGGTTGTGCGTTGCAGTGCCATTCATTTCAGTGGCAGCCCAAAACACTCCTCCCGCCCACAGTGATATTTGTCTGCACTGAAATGCGGTGAGATTGCGAATAGTGTGCAAGTTTTATTCTGAAGTAAACTTTGTTTTGTAGCACTGCATTTGTGTTTTTTTTTTATTTTAAATTGTATCCGATTAATCGAAAAAAATAATAATCGTCCAACTAATTGATTATGCAAATCACAAAGAACATGCCTGTATACAAATAAACCTGTCTGTTCACCAGCTTACTCACACAAGCAAAGAAAAGTGCTACGAAATTAAGCATGAAGTAACCTTGAGAGAATGATATACATGATGAAAAAAAAAAAGCACTGGAACGCACCGGATCGCATCACAAAAGTGTAACAAATGCATCGCACCACGATTGCAGAAACAAGTGCAGATCTAGTCCGGACTAAATGTGGTGACTGGGCCCTCAAAAATAAAACTAAATGCAGCCACTACATCAAAGTAATGGTCAGCTGCAATCTATTACATTTGTTCTCACATTATCCTTTTATGTTCTCCGTTATCCTTGTCCTTTTTAAATTATACTTTTAGGGCTTGGTCACACCTAATCCAGTGCGTTTCAGCGTGGTTAGTTGCTGGAACGCACTGGATCGCATAATTACAGCCTCCCTGTGTTATAGCGCCAGAGGGGGCATGGCGGTTAGGGTTAGGGCCCGCTGTGCGATCGCTCACACCAGAACGCGTGGCAAAATAATGCACAGTGCAGTGCAACCTATTTTTTGTGATCGTTCCGCGGGCATTGAGCGCAGGGAGGCTGTAATTATGCAATCCAGTGCGTTCCAGCAACTAATAGTGCTGGAACGCACTATTTGCTGGAACGCACTGAATCTGTGTCTATTGCCCACCCCTCGGTTGGACTGCTTTTGGACATCCCACATGTCTACGATTAACTGCATTCCTGTGTCACTCAATGGGCAATACATTTCATGTACTTGCCATAAAATATTTTTCTTGAGGTCCATTGAGAGAAACCGGTCATGCCTCTCTATTAGTGGTTTCATGTACTGCCTGTTTACAAAACTCAGGCATGACTGTTGCAGCCAGGGTTATATGGGGGCTGGTTTAATGTCCCTTTTTTGTTCAAAACCTCCTGACGGAGGCAGTATAAAACAAATGTCTAAAAATTACTATATTGCTTTGTCCTTTTAACCCTTTCACTGCCACCAACGTAATGATTACTTCGGTGGCAGTGGGCCCGTTTAAACAGACGGGATTCTGTTTACATTTGTAAAGCTGGCTACAGTTTAAAGAAAAACTAAAATGTAAAAATAATACCGTAATTTTTACTTTTAAAAGACCCTGCCTGCTCGAGCATTCACGTAAACACGCTGCGGGTGCACCTACATACTAAAGCGATGATTGCGCTACACATGTTGGTTATCGCTGCGCACGCCAGAGAGCAATAATTCCAGGG